AATTCGCCGACCGGACAACCCGAGCGAGTTGCCCTATTTTGCCACCTCTTAGTCCTGTAAAATGTTCGATAACATGTATTCATGTCTTCTTCTTTTTACGGATGTTGATAAGACCGATGCGAGGTCGAAACCGCAGTCCACTCCAGTCCACTGTCGCTGTTCGAATCTTTCTGAGGGTGTTGATAAGACCAATTCGAGGTCGAAACTGCAGTCCACTGTCGCGGTTCGAATCCCGCTGAGGGTGTTAACTGCAGTCCACCTCGGCCGTCGCGGTTCGAATCCCGCTGAGGGTGTTGATAAGACCAATGCGAGGTCGAAACTGCAGACCACTGGTGCCTAGGGATGAGAACAACTTTTGGGAAAGCAAGGCTATGTGAAATTCAATGGAAACGTCAGCTTAACTCATATCATCGTGGCCGTCAGCTCAACTCATAGCATTGTGGGAAAATTCTTCTACCAGTCCTTCGTCAACAACTTTTGGTCGAAAAAAGCAAGGTTGAAGGAAACAATTTTTGGGAAAGCAAGGCTATGTGAAATTCAATGGAAACGTCAGCTCAACTCATATCATTGTGGGAAAATTATACTTTGGGAAAGCAAGGCTATGTGAAATTCAATGGAAACGTCAGCTCAACTCATATCATTGTGGGAAAATTCGATGGGAAAGCAAGGCTATGTGAAATTCAATGGAAACGTCAGCTCAACTCATATCATTGTGGGAAAATTCTAATAGGAAAGCAAGGCTATGTGAAATTCAATGGAAACGTCAGCTCAACTCATATCATTGTGGGAAAATTCTACCACGGAAAGCAAGGCTATGTGAAATTCAATGGAAACGTCAGCTCAACTCATATCATTGTGGGAAAATTCTACTGCCCCGCTGGGGTGTTGATAAGACCGATGCGAGGTCGAAACTGCAGTCCACCCTGGATGAGAACAACTTTTGGCGGCTATGTGAAATTGAATGGAAACGTCAGCTCAACTCATATCATTGTGGGAAAATTCTACTACCAGTCCTACATCACTTTACACGAAATAGGGTGAATACATCTAATTACACTGATTTACTGGTAGTCTCGAAACCCTACTTACTTACGAAAAATAAGTAGTCTAGTCGACTGTTACGGTAAATATATAAGTTCTGCTTCATCTACAATCCCTCCACGGAGTGTGATATGGCAGAATGCCTGGCCTTTTTTGAAATTCACATCTCCTCTGTGACACAAATGCACACAAGCCGGATTCGAGCCGCGCTGCGGCTGCTGATGAGACGAGTTGAAATAGTGCACTCGACTCTGGCCCGAATGAGAATCACTTTTGCAACAGCAAGATCACGGCATAGAAGATGTTTGACCTTGTTTTCGCAACTCGGTCATATTGGTAGGAAGACTTAAAGAAACGCACCTAGTCCGGAGT